ACTCCTTCAAAACGAGGAGGGTGACCAGTATATGCTTTGTCCAATACTTAGTTGTGTTAGAGACACAAGCTTCCTTCCGGTTAGAGCCTTTGGGGGTGTCAACAGATCTGGCCTACAAACCCCATCAAGACACGGTTGAAATAGTCCATGCTTTGAGGTTTCTACCGAGACCCTCGAGTGTTGTGCGATACAGCAGATTGGCCACCTACCGTTCGCAACAAAATGCCACTTTTCCTAGCGGTGTAAACACCCTTATGGCTGTGCTGCATGTGTTTGCTCTAAGGAGATGGCCTATCCACAGGCTTGAGAATCCGGCTGTATGATTAGGGAATAGTCAGAAGGCTGTGTTATCTATCTAGTCTGATATTCGTTCCTTCCTATCATATAACAGGATATAAATCTTGAAGACCCCACAGACTCGGCGAGAGTTTCAATGCTTCCGTGTCCTCTCATCCGTGGCGACCTCGCCTTGTTGAAGATTTAACCTTATCCGGCTTATCATTGGTGCTCCGAGTTTCCTGAAAATCTCGTAATATATATAGGCTTTAGGTTATCAATCCATTTCACCAGCTTCCCCCGTTATCAAATGACATTATCCCGCACTTTGGGTAGGCTGTTGATATCTTAGTGATAAGGGCTTTGATCAAGCACAGTCTGGGGCATTGTGAGAGTGGCCTCTGATCGCACTCTGCGCCGTAATTAGCACATATTGCTTCCCTCCTCTTCCGGCTTCCCAGTTGTGGATGAGTTTGGAAAGTCTAGACCAGGGAGGACCTAATAGGTATTTCGGTGATGCCGTTTATGAATACTGAGGACATCAAAATTTGTCCCGGAATGTCTCCCATTCGCATTGGGCCTTAGCGCACTAGACTTATAACAGTATGACGAACCAGGCTCTGAAATTAAGAACCTGAGAAGCGAAGGCTCCAATATCGTCAGCACCACCCTCCACCCATGAAATCACTCGTCAGAAACGAGTAGGGGAAGAAAAAAAAGAGCACAATTAATGCCTTCACCCTCCCCCCCCCCCGAAAACTCAAGTACTCTACCCCTTCCGGTGTAGAGTAAGTAAAATTCACAAATTTAATGTAGCCAATCCTCAGCCTTAATGGTGCCATAGGCTGACACCGAAGGCCGCTAATACCGCACAACAGTACACTGCGCATGTTTCCCCACATACTTATATTTACACTGTGAGCATTCTGTTTTGCCTTGGGATCAGGCTCGATAATCGAAGCTTCTCATGTTCGCCCATACGGTTGGAGGCTGGAAGATAGTATGTCAATTGTTTCCGGTAAACCTTCAAGAGTCCGGTTTTCCGTGAATATTCGCGGGTAGTAGGCATCGCTGCTGTATTGTGCTCTCAAGCACAAATACGATTTTGTTCACGAGCCACTGCAGTAGTCGGGCAGTAGGTGGTAACAACTTATCGAAAATCTGCGTGAAGGGAAAAACGCACAGCACTGCCCCCCCAATACCTGCTCAATCCAACAATATGCCCCCCTGCCCGAGCCCAACAATTTCATCCTTCAGATCCACCATGATACAGCTTAAAGAAGAAATAACAACGGCAAGGGCACTGCCGTACCTGCGAGTGCGGTGGACACGCACTCTACCACTCCAGCGACAACCTTCTAAGCATATCCCAGCGGCAAGGTCTCAATCTGATCGAGTGACACTCGGTGATACAGCCGCACGAGCCGCATGTGAGTGAGTATTAAGGGCCCATGGTAGTACAGGTACCTTACCGTGTGATACAATACCGCACCGGACCGTGCACAACAGGGAACCCACTCCGGATAAGCTCATCCCCTCGAGTCGAGTCCCTGTCCGGTAACCACCACACTCGAACCCACACCAGAGATAACTGTCAATGACAAGACCTGAGTGGCATACAAGTTAGCATTACACAAGATTAGATAAAAAAAACATGGGAAGAAGAAAAGCTCAGTAAGAATTCGATTTGCGGAAATTGTGCGGTGGCGGTACAAGTACTGCACGTGCCGGGATTAAATAGAGCAGGAACAGTACGGGCTGCCCGAGCGCTCGTATGACACTAGCACCATATCATAACCGGATTGAGTAGTGAGGAATTCGAGAGTTGGTGCTCACAATTCAGTACTCGTAAAAACGTCATCCTTTTGTTTCCGCACAAAGTACGCAACTTGGGGGATCGGCTTACCAGATTCTGCAAGGAGCTCGTATCATATCCGGGATATTGTGCGGTATGTAGGGTGAAGCTTGAAACAGGCCTAGATTATCCTTGATTGTGAGATAATGGAAGGCTGTGGAAAACCCTTTCCAAAGAGTGTGAGGAGGTTCCTATGATAGGGGTAATTTTTTTCGGTGATGGTTTACTTTCGTGTTGGTGGAAGAGGTTGAAGTCTGATAGTTGGTCACTGCACATGCAGTGCCGGCTGCCGGTAGCGTAATTGGATTACGGTGCCATTGCTAGCGGGGGAAACGCTCGAGTATGATACTAGTCTAAATCTCGGGCTAGCAACTCACTACGAGTACGAGTGCAGTATCGTACATTCAAACCAACATTACCGGGGGACCGACAACCTAAACGAGACAAACGCCCCAGGGACACAGTAACTCTATGGGGGAACCCCCCGCAAACCCCGCTCACTGACCAAGCCCCCCACCTTACAGTACTTGATCTTCCCAGTGCCACTACGAGCCCCACCTGATTATGCGGGTAGTTTAAACAAAAGGCCAGCCGTTACAGAGTTCCTGTCTAGGTATTTTATCTATCTGCCAGGGCCGCCTCCAACGATACATACAGGTATTGGTGGAGTGGAATACACCCCCACAGCACTAGTAGTCATGCCTAGTCAAGGAGAATCTTGTAGCGCAACCTTAGCTAGTGATCCCATTAGCAGCGTAGGAAGAGCCTAGAACTAGGCCCCCGCCCAATTCTATCTCCTACTGTTTGACACAATATAATCGCCCATTCGTCTTCATCCCTGTTCGTGCAATATCTGTTTCTTTTTCGAAGGGCGCTTGATCCTTGCTGTACAGTACAGTACTCGAGTACCGGTACTTGGCTAAGAGAAAGCAGTGGTTATGGATTTCGGCTCAGGTAAGGTACAATACCCCGATGCGCGAGCTCACATCGCTGGCATAATTGGTTTGAAAGCTCAAACCCAGCGACCAAACTGCTCGAGTAATTAGGTCGGCAGAATCCGTGGTCCCGTGGAGAAACTCTGTGTTCGCATTACCTAAATCCGCCTGCCGTCCGCCACTAATATGGTAGCTGGGGGGGGGCAGGGTGGGGCAGTGTGCGGTCCGTCACAACCTGTCACGGTGGGGCAGAGAGCAAGAAACTTCGGCGGGTACTACTCCTCAAACAGTAGCGCAGTAAGTTGGATATGGTATCCAAATAGCCGGTAACGTCTCTCGTACTATACAGTACGACAAGCCTAAGAAAGGATTAGATTGGCTTATGGTTCGGTGCACGGATAAAAACAAAAGGCGCCGGTAAGTGCCATAGACTTCTCGAGCACAGTGCCGAAACCCCCCGTGCCCAGGATCAAAGCCGGGGAACTATGTCAAGATTCCGGGGAGTTGGATTCGGCCGCCGAAGTGGGGTTAGATACTCGAGTCGGCGATATCAACGAAAGTACTCGAAGGAAACTCATACCCAATAATAAAGAATAGGGCTCCCCATGGGGAAACATGGTTGTACAAGGCACCGGATACTCGAGTACAAGGGTAGGACACCATTACAGGAACAGACAGGGATGTATTTGGCTGGTTAGCCTCAAATTACTGTTCCCGAACTTCCGGGAGGACCTCGTACAGTAGGAAAGCCCTGTTAAAAGCCAGTGACTCTGCGGTGATGCTCGATATCAAAAATATCGTATGAGCTCAGGCAGAGGATAAATGTGCTAGACGTTGGAATTCCCCTTCTAGGAAAATGGAGGGGGAAACACCACATACTCAGCCCTCAGTTGAGACAAAAAAAAAAGGCACATCTTCTGTTCGAATTTTTACAGTACGCAAGCCCTGGAAACATCACCGTCGCACTTGGGACCAGTGCCAAAGCCCATCTAACCCAGAAGCCCCGCACAGATATTCAGCTGATATTGACCTTGTTTCTGCTTTCCCAAGATTCGAGTGAAGTGATATTTCTGGGTAAAGAATTAAGTAATTCCTCACCTGATCAATAGGAACATGAAACAATAGGAAGACGGACCACAGCGTTCGGCGCGCTCTGATTGCGGGGGTTGTAGGCGCAGTGCATAATTCGTGTCCAGCACTTGCACTATATTCGCACTGCTATTGTGGTTTTGATTCAACTGTGGAATCGGTGTATAATATTACCGGTATACGTAGAGAACCAATAGTAAGGCCCGTGGTGCCATCCGTGTAATACCAGTGAAGTACCATATGTTACTTGTACTGGAGTGCCACGATCGGACATTGGGTGAAGCGTCAAGGCGAGATGAACACAATGGATCTGGATTCCGGCACAGACAACTTATCCTCCACATCGCAGAAGTCCAATCATCCTTGAAGCCATATTTCCCAAGTTTAACGCCATGCATGCACTTTGAAATTTCCTTTGCAAACCATTTACTCGAGTAGGCAGGAGGCGAGAGGCGGGGTAGCTGTCGCCCCCCTTCCCTTGGTCACATCGTGAATTTCCCCCCGCAAGGGCAACCTTTGCTTGGTTGCCTTTTCGGCAAGTAAGTTAGCGTATTCCCCCAAGTTAGCGATGATGGGCGCCGCAGTGGACCAATGCTGCCCTGTGTTGGGAGGTTTTCAGAGAATCACAGTACTGTAAGTTAATATTCACAACCGGCGAGAACTACTGAGATGTATGAACTGCGCCCCGGGTACTTCGGTCAGCTGAGAATTTTTATAATTCCAGCACCATAGGCTGCTACCCGATGTCAATGATGCTCGCAAGCAATAGAGATAGAGGTATCATAATCCCCTTGTCGCAACTTGGTTGGATGATAGACGCCGCTGGATAGATCAACGCAAAAACATCGCAACAGCTTTCTTGAGGTTCTTTCGCTGTCTGTGCTCTCAGATCAGAAAAAATAAAGTCCGATCGGAAACATCTTACCCGTGTATGGCTAGAGGTAACACATCCTGTTTTATCTATACTGGTATCTCATTTGGTGGCAATTAGTTAGCATTGGGAGGCAACATGGTACCGAGAAGGGATAGATTGCATCCCCACACTATCCGAGCACTCGTACCGTATGCAATGCGACAATCTCGCTTCTGACCCCGCACAATGTGCGCATCGTACTGTGCTCTACCCAACACCGAACAAAGCCAGTCCTGTTGGAATTTCAAACGAGACTAGTACTTTACTTAGGGTACAGTAAGCGGCGAGAATGACCCAAATGTGCACCGCTCCTGATAGCGTCCGATAAAGCATAAAAGGGTCCCCTACTCCCCCTCCATCCGACCTGTTCTCTCACCAGCGGCGACGCATCCAATCTTCAAAACTTATAACTTTTTTTCAAAGAAACTTCCACACTTTAAACTCAAATCTTCATCATGGGTGGCTGCGGTTGCGAAACTTCTGGTTCTTGTGGCTGTGGAGCGGATTGCACCTGCGATAACTGCCCTGTACGTGCCAAAAATCAATCTGTTCCCTCTCCTTTGCCGGTTAGCTAACATCTCTCCGCAGCATAAATAAATCAAAACCCCCTGAGACTCGGCCCGCTCGTATCTTGTACCTCACCATAGCGGTAACGAAACAACGTCAGGCAATCATCATTGACACGGGAAACGGGGGATGCACTGGGTCGGATGTTACGGTCGAAATGTGTTCAACGGAGCGGGTGAAATTCTGAAGGCTGGGGGAGGGCCTATTCGTTTGTTTTTTTGATTTGTTATTCTAAACGGTATCATTTTTTTCAAATATAGTATATTTGAGGACAACGAAAGTCGTATGTGTTTTCCCTACTTTGTAGGGCTGAAATAAAAGCCTTTTCTTGCGCCCGCATGTTGTTCAATCATCCATCTTAGAGCGGATCTGAAAAATCAAGAGCACAGGAAAGTTTTTAAAAGTAAAAACTTCGCAGTGTAAGACACAGGAAAAAAGGTCCGTGCTAACCAATTCAGGGTCCTCGCAATTGATAAATCCCAACAAATAGACAATTCTACCGGTATTTGATGGCGGGCAGCCGCTTGACCCTATTCGAGTACACTTAGACCGCAGAGTCCCCCCTCCTATGTATTAGACGCTTCAAAGTCCATGCTTTCCGCTTTCCAAAAGCTTTCTTGCGCTCTTAATTTTCCAGATCTGCTATAATGCGTAGCGAGAGGAAAGAAAAAGAAACACAAGGCAAGGAAATGCACCTCGAAGATAAGAACATCGGCTTTGCAACACCTTACGGTGAGCTAGACCTCTAAGGATGAGTTCCGGAAGCGCAACCCATATTGTGTTACTGCCGGATTGCCCTTTTCTCCCCTGCTCCACCCCCCGCGCCCCTCGGAGCCATTGCAGCCTCCGTGAAAAGTGTGGAACTCACTTTACCAGTTTTTCAGCCGCCCCTCTCTCCCTTGCAGAATATCCCGTACACCCCGTCCCAGCAAGCGGGGATACTGCACTGGCACTCGAGTAACGCGTTGGAGAAATGGGTGCTGGATCTGCGGGTGTTGCGATTAAACTGCTCGAAAACAAGTGCAGACCAGCAAGTATAGAGTAAGGCATGGTGCGCTTCTAAGTTAGCAATCACTATCGTAGGTTGAGATACTGTACAAGTGCCCAAATTCTAGCCATCAGATCCATCAGCTCCTATGGGCTCAGTCGGTTCTACGGGCACAATATTTGAGAGGATTCCCCACTGCCTCATCTGGTGATCGAGCGTGTTTGAGGATCTTGTGCGTAGCCCAGAGGAATGCCCAGCATCAAAGCCCATGTATCAGCGTATATCCCTTATGTGGCCGTGAATACCCGTGGGAAGCACCTTCAGGCACTCAATTAGTTACATTACACGTGCACCACCAGAATTTGGCCAGAGGGATTCTAGGGAAAAAACTCTGACCAGTTGCTGAGATATCCCCCGGAGACGCTGCTCCAGGCCAGGCAAACTTCACTTCACAGACCAGGTGCATCCAATGAGCTTGAATTAGTGGGTTGGGTTTGACAACCCCCGGGTTCAGGGGGATATTTCTGTCCCAATTATCTGCATTCCTTCGTTGTTCAGCCTCTGACAGCGCAGCGTAAAGGTTCGTCAGATAATCATCTGTGCTCCAACTCGGGTGTTCTCATGATACCACAAATGGTACATGCTACTGGTTATGGCAGAGAAGGCAAATTTCCACCTGATTTATGCCCGGTGAGCCTCCTTATGTCATGCACATGCGGTTAGGCAGCAGAGAAGCCGGATATCACACCCTGGGAAACTGTGCGAGTACGGTAAGAGTAGAAACACTATGGCTAGTGTCCAGATCCCGTAGGTCCAGCATGGCCGAGGTTGTAGTGTTCATACGGAATAACGTTTTATCCTGAAAGCTATCGCCGGAAAGGTGTCAGGGCCACTACTTGGAAAATGGCAGTTAGCCTCAGACAAATCACAATGCTTTCTTCCCCTATCTTTCTCTTAGCAGAAGATTGATCTAGTAGGGGGGGGGTTCCAAACCAGTAACCACGAACCATTTACTGGTTCATGGGTCCCGAGGCCCAGTCCAGGATAATAAATTTGATTGAACCAGTCCATACTTAGATGTCCAATGGCGCACTCCTACTTGTTAGTTTACAGCTGGAAAATTGGGATATAGGATATCCAGGTCCTATGACTGATACCGGCGATAGATCCACCCTCGAAGAGTCCGGTGTCTTCCCCTTTACTCCCAAGTTAATGAAAACAATCAACCCCCGAGTTCCGCCCCGTAGAGTATAGACACGCTCCCTAAGTACTTGGAAAGTAAAAGTGCCATAAGCCCGAAGTTGTAGAACATGTTCCTGTCTGAATAAGCCTCTTTTCCAGAATGATCAAAGGCGAAAATGTTATTCACAGCGATTAGGGACCGTCGAGGCAGGTCATAATGCTCAGAGTTGCAAAGGAGGCGGTCAGAGACTACGTTGGAAAGGATCTTTTCCAGACTCTGAGTGGTAGCCTCATCATTCACCTCGACAAAGGGATATCTTCCCTATTTAGTCAATCACTCAGGAGAAGGCCGACTATTATTGTTTTTCCCCGGCAAAACACAAGGCAGCAGCGGAGCCGCTTCTACCCTCGCCCCCCTCCTCCTGGTGGATATCCCATCCGAGGAGTTCGTCTACCCCACTCTAAGACACCATCCTACCTTTGCTTGTACTCGTACTCGAGTATGGTTTTTCTACTCATTAAAAGCAAACATGGTTTTTTGAGGCGGAGTACCCCATTTGATGGCGCCACCCATAAGAATAATATTATTATTATGATGGATAATGGGATAATAATTATTATAATTCATGCTAGTATGATAATTATCATAGCTATGCCATACAAAACCCGAAACAAAAAGGGTTAGGGTTCATCTAAAATTTATTCAGCCATATCATAACTAAACAGGACAGCGAAACCTCCAAAAAATCCAGTGGGTCGGGACCGGCTCGAGACTGGAAATATCATAGGGCGGCTACGATACCGGTACGGAAAGAGGGTAAAGAGTCTAATGAGTCAAGACCAAGTGATATCCCATGACGACTCAGGAAAAAAGAAAAATTGATCACTGCTACCCGCACAGAGAACAGAATACAGAATACAAATTTAAGTAACCGATAGCTGTAACTGCGTTCCAGTTTTAGCAGTGGAGTATGACAAAATACATTGTGTCGGTGGATTCCAGGAGCCAGTGCACCCACCATCAGTACTAGAAATCTCTTCCTGCAGAGTTTAAATTCTGCGAGGTTGGTAAAGTTTAGCCCTTGACTTAGAGTGTCTTTCTTGATTGACCTGGTCATAATTGCGCTGTCAGATGCGGGATTCTCGGTATGATACTAGCCGGGATTTCCTTCATGTCTTATGTGTTTAAACACCATAAGAAACTATATTATCATACCTTCATATTTGCTCCAGGGTTTGTTAGTTTACTCCTTCTCAGGCTCCTCCACTCTTTCCACATTTTCTTTCCCCCCACAAATATTTCCCGCTAATTTTCCCCGAATAGGGGTTTTCCGGAACCAAGATCTTGGGAATGTGCTGGAATTCCAAACTACAAGGGATTTAGGATCTTCGGAGGAAGCCTCCATGTCTCAAAAGGCGTGGATCTACAAACTCAGGAGTTGCTACAAGTAGAGTGCTAGCAGTTTTGGAGGCTAGAAATATCGGAGGTTCCACTGTGCTGACCTGCATCGTGGGGCAGAAAATTATATGTTTGGATAGAAGAAAAGGCCACTCTAAGAGCTTTGAGCATGCAATACCTAAGTATCTCATCGAAACGGGCTTTCGCTCGATGCAGGTTGGTAAAGGCCAGAGGGTAGTAAGGAGATGAGCATTTTGACTCCTTATAGCGGTAACTACTAGACCGCACCTATTTGTACTGGATCCTTGTCAGATGTGAATAGTAGGCGATTGAGTTCTACCGAATTCCTTAAGCGTACCATGAGAGAGAAGTATAGGCCTACGAGTGGGGGAGCTTCTGTGTTTGGGTGATGCACAACTAAAGACATCGGCGTCGTCAGGAAGTTATCAACAAAGGCTCAGACCGAGAAATCCCCTCGCCGGGGACAAACTCCAACAGTACGATACCTTTTCTCGCCCCCCACCGGACAAGAGAAAAATGAGAACCTCTCAGACCATCCTAAACCGGACCAAACACACCCCTAACCGGAACCTAACAAAGCTAGAAATCTCAGTCGAAGGAATTCTAGCAGCAGATGATCCCTCCTCCCTAGCGCACTACCCGGATGTGTCGAGGCGGTTGTTGGTAGAATACCAATGCACATCGACGACGGGATCTGGAGGGGCACGGATATACCCAAGGCATTCGCAATCGGCGAACAGTGCTGCAAGATCGTGAGGTTTCCGTTGCGGGGGGGCGGAATAGGGTCCACCTCCCCCTCCCCCATCCCTTCCAACCACGAGAGCTCTATAACGTAGTGCGATAGTGAGTAATGCATGATTGGCATTGGGGATATCAGGTTTGCGCTCTTACTGTTGAGAATTACTCCTCTGGGTTGATGTGTCGTGAGAGAAGTGCTTAGGCTTCTTACTCACTATTGCGTATGCTGGGTTGTACTGGGTGGTACGCGGAAGTGTGTATTCCGTATCATTAGTCATGTGACTGCGTTTGGGCATGACTATATACCGTTCTTGTTTCGCTTAGCTAGCTGTAAGACTTAATCAACAATCTTCCGCTGCACAACAAAACCGTCCAATTCGTAACACTTACTAATACTCCCGCATCGAGTGACATACGGTGACTGCTTGCAACACACTCCTATCCATAGGCTTATCTCTACGCATCGCCCTTTCCTTTCTTCTTTCTCCTTTCCCTTTCCTTCCAACAATCTTCACCTCCTTTATATAACAACCAACACCTCAATCTCAAACGTATCGTACATCTGCTCATTCTACTTCTGCTCCAGTGATTCCATTCAACTAACGAGTGCGGTTTTTGGAACCTCCCGGGCGCCCCGTGACAAGTACCTATCACCCCTTCTCAATCGTAGAGGTATCTCAGATCTGAGCCCCTCAGCGAAATGATCCCTCCACGCTCTGACTTCGCCAACACCGTTTGCTCCGGTGTGGTCCCTGTGGTCCCGTCCGCACACTATTGCTTCAAGTGGTCCCGGAGGCGTGCACCATCATCGGCCAAGGGTCGGCCCCAACCGCAGTTGACGGACAGACGAGCACTGTCTCGTGACCATAGAGGTTAAACCTGTAGCAACTATCACGTCTACTTGAGGCAACAATACGGTTGAAAACTCTAGACTCTCAAGACTAAACCTAAAGAGTCCTGGAGTCAATGGAGCAACTGTAGGTAACCACAGTCTGCTTCGCCTTTGCTCTGCTAAGTTGGTCTTTTTTTCGCGGACGGGCTGGTCCTCGTCTTATGCGATCCGGACCCGGGACCACTGGGAGCACCGAGTTCCATACAATTTGTGGCATCTACCAACTTGGGGTAACACCAGTTGAACATATGGCGTAGCCCTCAGCTTTTGGCCGTTTCACATATGGAAGCAAGAAACTCTCTGTCCTGACAATAGTTCACTAAACAATTAAGGAACATAACCCGGGAGATCATTATATTTACCCGCATAAAGGCTGCTTCTTTGGCAACACCTGAGTTAAAGAGTAACCTTCACCAAGACACCGAAATCATACTCCAACTTTCTCCAACAGAATCTTCCCGCCGGTCTTACTCCCACCCCCCCCTACCAACAGGGGAGAATTGATATTCGAGCAAATACATTCAATCGAGCCAATAAACCTCCATGATGCTAATGCTATTCCCCTTCCAGCTCCCACCCACAGCGCTCTGTGATGGCTCATCCCCGGTAAGCGTCCCTTTATATCATAAGTAATACCAGATCTAAGGCATGGTCTCTTTTCAATTTCACAGTTGAATAGATTTAATTACCGAGGAGGAGATTGGAAAGCGAAAAGAAAGGAAGGAGAGAATTTAGAATTGTTTCGCCCACACCGGCTACTTTACAAGTTCTCACAGGTGCCCAATCGTTCTCTGTAAAGCAGACATTGATGCTATTCCTATCATCCTCTTCCATTGTCTTAAACCTCTAAAATATGCAAACTTAAAGACAATCCCCCTCATTTACTGCGAGCCACCCCCAGCGTGTCCTACAACACCCCACCAAAATGAAAGTAATGGAAGGATTCAAATAAGAAGTAGGTTAAATAGCTAATTGAAAGTAACTGGCAAATGCACGAATTATCCAATTGCTTAAGTCCCCCCTCCCCGGGTGTCCCACAGCACCGCGCAAAAATGAAAACAAAAATGAAAATGAAAAGGATGAGAGTGCTGTGTTGAAAATAGCTGCTCGCCATGCCCAAAATATTCCCAACATGCTCCGAACATGCTCGGCAAGTTCATGTGCTCCGCCCCTATTACCCGTCCGTCCATCCCTTTGCTTGATCATTCGTTCATTCCCCCGTCGGTATCATGACATTCGCTCACTCATCCGTTCATTGTTCGTTGTTTGTTGTACGGCAGTGGAGGAAGTAATCGGGGGTCTGCGGGACGTCGCAGGAGTCTCTGTCCTGTTTTTCCTTCATATCTCTTTTGTTAGCAAGGGAGCGTATACAGAGGGAGGAGGGAGGTAAACTTGTGTGGATGACCTGAGATTTTGATAGATATGTGTAGAAGACAGTAGGATGGTTGAAGATCGTTTATGAATACTCGTGTGTTTTCCTGCTTGTTGGTTTAGTTAGGCGAGAGAGCGAGAGTGTCGAGGAGATAGTCAGGAAGCGGAGAAAATCTTTTCATAATATCATACCCCTCTTTTTTGACTGCCGCCTGAAAGCCTGGGCGATTCGTTTCGACCGAGTGATAGTTTATAATCGCCTGCACCGGCCGGTTATCGTCGTTTCTGCCGCTCCGGAAAGTCGTAGCCGTTTAACATGCTGGTCTTCTACCTAAGCCGCTACCTACGCAATCACTCGTGCAAACAAACAAGCAAAACAGGCCTAATACGCAACGGTGTATCACTGAAACTGGACGTCGCGAGGCAAAGATACGATAAACGGCCTGAGCCAATTCTAAAGCAACCCGTACTTATATACAACCCACCACCGAAGACTACTTCTTCGCCTCTTCGAAGGGATACGTGTGCCCGACAACCTTCTCAAATGGCTGTTCCCTCCCAATAACTCTCTCGCGATCCCACGGTCTAACTCTCTGCCCAATGATCCTGACATTCGGCAGGGTCGGAAGCTCGGTTTCTGAAGTGAGGATGTCGAAGAGTTTTGTTGGGGGAGGTTTAGCGACCAGGTGGCTTACTATTATCCATTAGCTATTGCATATAAGGCCGGGTGAGAGTGAGGAGGGGTGGAGGGAGGAGTACAAAGATCGGCCACTGTTTTCGCCCGAGTAATATCCGGATCCGCAAGTCTTATTCCGGTGAGTTGATAGACTCTTTTGTAAACCTACACCCAGTCAACACAGGCGCCCCCAAAAGACCGAGAAAGTCAGCACAGCAAACTTGATATCATCCCCACGAAATCCCAACCCCACCCACCCCTTTCCGCCCAATCCCTCCTGCAGCCACTCTCCCATAGCGCCCTCCGCCATCTCCCCCCCAACCCCAGTCCCCAACCCCAAAACCCCCCCCTCAACACCCTCATCCCCGTAATGAAACACTGCCCCCCCATCCTGCCTAACCTCGATGCGCACACGAGACGTAAACCCTTCTTCCGCAACGTCCCCCCCCACCGCGGGAGCATCAATGGGCTTTCCGTTGAGCGCGTGCGTGTAAACCTCCACCACGGCACGATGCACAGCAGCATGAATAGCCTCAGTACTCGGGGGTGGTTCGAGAACGTTTGCGAATCTAGAACCCACTTCGTCAACCCATCATCCATCCATCCATCCATGCCTTTATACGTTGCGGGGGAGAAAGGCAAATGTGTACATACGTCGGAACATCCCACTCCGTCAATCCAGGCGCCAACCCAACGACCGGCAATGCCCTACCATCACTCTCTTCAATGTAGCCCTCTCGCTGAGGATCTTCTCCTTTTGTCGGGTCTTCGACCACAGGGATTTGCGGGGCGGGTGGAGGCGTGCCCGGGGCGCCAGGGGGTTCATCCGTTCCCCAGATCTTGCGGCGGAGGACTTCTCGCAGGGGCAGGTCGGCCTTTTTAGGAAGAGCCATGGCGAAATGGCGGGCAGTAGTGGCGGTGATAGTAGGATAGCGACATGTGCGGCAGTGCGGGCGTGCCGGGCGAGGTATTCGGCGGAGCAATCGTTGCATCGTGTTGTGTTGGGCTGTTGGGTGGGGCGGTGGGGGAAGTGGGGACGTCAGTAAATTTAGACTATGCAAGTTGAGATTTGAAGGGAGAAACTTGAGGTCACGTGATTAGAAAGCATAAGGTCTTGATCTTTAAAACTGTTCGTAGTTGGTTTACGAGGTGGCTAAGACACACTGAGGGCAAAGGTAAGAAAGGCTAGTACGCTAGCCTAGCTCAATTAGAAGCAAAGGAAGACTCCCGGGTATAATGTTAAGTACAAAATTTAATCAGCTCCACGCACGCCACCCGAATCGCAAACGCCGCTGAAACAATGAAGGACATGAAATGGGAATTATTTGGGCAAGAATGTATTATTCGCTCAAGTCCTGGAGAAGCTCCACCATCCGGCGCTTTCGATCCAACATCTCGGGGCTTGCTGAGCTTGGATGACAAAAGAATGGAATCCCCATCGAGCCGAATTCCCTCGTCATGTGGGCTACCATCTGCTCGCTACGGGTGTAGACTTTCCTGTCGAATAAGGCGAGCTCTTCGGCCTCGCTCTCGGGGGTCTGCGGTGCTCGCGTCAGTCACTGCCATACCGAGTGGAGGGGGGGGTTAAGAAATTGCGCTTACCGGTTGAACAATGGCTTGCTGGGCAAGAGGTAAGGTACCGAGTTTGCGTCTAGGAGAAGAGGTCAGTAGGGCTTTTCCAGTGATGGGTTAGTAGGGAGGTGGGTAAGAAAAGGGGGGAGGAAGCTTACAGGACGTCTTCAACTTTCTTTCCACTCTCCTTGCGTACTTTATGTTTGTTGACTATCTCCTCTCTGGCACGGAACCTAGGCACGGTTAGTACAAATACCAGGAGTTGGCCCTTCGCCAAAGCTACGTGCCATGCTTTCTCGTGCTCGTGTTGAGAATTGATCATCTGTAACCAGTATCCGTCAGCCTTGTCTCTGTCTGCTGGACCAGACTACCCCATATCCCTCTCATTCCAACTCAAATGTGTCCCCACCTTTTTAATGCCGGCCATGATAGCCTCATTCTTACATACCTCCTTCATGATATACCTCAAAGCGGCATTCCATTCCTCAATCTTACTCGGATCAACGGCGGCCTCTCGAGAGACATGAACAGAGGGAGGAGGATATGTCTGTCTCGGGTCTGGTGTAATCGCTGGAGGGGGGCTATATGAGTCATCATCTTCATCACTACGGACCGGAGGCAGTGGTCGTGGTACGGCCTGTGTGGCCTGTGTAGACGCTGATAGGATTTGGAGGATTCTTGTGAGGTCTTCGTTGACGGCCATTAACTTGCCTACCGTACCCGTGCGAACCTATAGCTAGGTAATAGGAAGAAGGTAAAAAAGGGTAACAAAGTATAATATCGCTACCGAGGACGTTTTTCTTCCTCTTCTTTTCCAATTGCGCGATTTTCAAGGTGTAACTAAGTTTACACTTCTTAGAGGGGATGTTTAGAGAGACGCGGTTGTGCACTGTAGGGAAGGGGGGGGTGGTCTGAGGTCAGGTTGAGGTTGAGCTGGGAAGACGCGACTTTAGTTTCTGTGTTTGTTTTTTACCGTTTCTTTTCTTCAGCCTACTGTGCAGTGCTAGGGGAAAAGGATGCAGTATTGTAAGGAAGGCCAGCCAAAAATTTGAAGGGGGAGGATTAAGAGGCAAGTGTCAAACTCGGAAAAGAAAAATCCCCGAGGCGACGTCGGGAAGAAAGGGAAGGAAACGAAAATAGAAGAAAAGCATTTTCTCATTTTTACCGACATCATCCCTCCATCACCCCACCATCACCACCAATAATAATACATAGGAGCCCACACGAATCAACGAAAAGGAGACAATTACAACCCGACGACGGCATCCGCTCATCACCCATCACAACATTTCCTTCCATTTCATTGCGGTCACAAACAAATAAACAAACAAATAAAAAAGGTTACATACCATGGTTCCCCCTCCCCGTTCTGTCGCTGATGCTACCCGCTTCACGCCCACTGGCCCCCACGCTTTCACCCGAACACCATTGTCCGCCGCGGCCACAGCGACGGTCGGCGAAACCCCACAGCAGCGGGTCGCTCGTCTCCGTGAGGCGGCGAGGAGAGCAAAGTCAAATCAGATCAGCACGGTCGATAAGATTATTGATCGGGGGAGAGTGTGGGCGGATAAAGCTCATAGGGTTGCGGCTTTCAGCTTGATCGGCGCTACTGGTCTGTTTCTCCCCATTTTTTTTTCTCTCGATCAAATGGATGCATGTCCCCGAGTGGAGCTGGTGATGCCGTGGGTGGAAGGTGGGAGTTGACAATATTACTCATGTATCCCTAGTGCTCTGCGGAGGATTTACGATATTCGCAAGTATCGACATGGTCTTGTACGCCAGGAGGAAGAAGCGAGCATATGTATGCCTCCTCTCCACACCTCTCTCTCTCCTCTCCTCGCAATGCTCTACCAAACTGACTCGGGTGGGATTATAGCTTGAAGAACAAAAGGCTCTCAAGACCGCCGACCTCGCTGCTGCTTCAAACGAATCTGAAGCTCTAGTAGCAGCCACCACTCCTCCCACCTCCACCTTCACCACTCCTAGAGGCGAATCAAACACGGTAACGGATAAGCTAAAGACTTGGGCGTTAAGTGGTCTCACCCCCGCAGAGAAGGAGGAAGAACTGCGTAGACAGAGTGTGGAATCACGCGTTGTTGTAAAGGATAACATTCTCAGTCAACCAGGCGCGGACAATCTAGCGAAGGGCGAAAAGGAGAAGGGTGGGAGCACTGGAGTACTCGGTTCTATCACGGGCTGGTGGAGCGGGCGATGAGTGAGTGCGAAAAATGGTGTACTCGGCGTTGGTCGGCGGTTTCGCGAGCATGTCGTGTACAAAAATAATCCTTCTTGATAGAGCGAATGGCGTAGCGAGTCGTGATAGTGGTTGCGCGGCGAGGCGGTAGTGGTGGTGGTGGTGGTGGTGGTGGTGGTGGTGATTCATCCCATCCTCGATCCGTTGCCATCCAGCGCATGTTGGTGCTACCGTCTCCTCTCCGGAAGTAGAATTGGGACAGATATCAGTTAGGAGATGTTCAATTCCATGGTCAGAAAACTTGAAGAACAACTGTCCTCTCAAAGAAACACATATCCAAAACCAATGCTGTATCATGGCTTAGCGAGGAAGTGCAACAAATCCGGCAAAGCATCACAAAACCTCACTCGCAATCTCCCTTCATCCAGTCATCCCTTGCTATTCTCGGAGCAAAGGGCAAGACGCCATAGTAGTCTAAAGGCGTCAACAAACAAGCCAACGCCCCAGCCTTCTCTCCTTCCCCCCACCTACGATACTTGTACTCGTAAGAGTGGAGAATGGCTTGCCAAGAGCACCAATCAATAGCGAGACAACCACTCCAAATCTCCCGTGACTCCAGCGGCCCAACTATCCTCCGACGCGATCCTGGAATTAAAGTTGTGTCAAGTGCTTCCATTCGCGCTTAAGATTAAGTTTCTAGAGTCATCGGATGGGCGGTACCTGTACGGCAGGGTAAAAAGCAATAGCCACACGGGTAACAGATTATGTCTCATGCTGAGAATTTCCGATTGGGTGCGCTCGCAATTTTGAGTTTTTGAGCTTTTGACTCATAGTCTAGGCGCAAGTACCGTGCCAATACTCGACAAGCATGACTGTGGGTAGCGGTAGTAATACGAAGTGGAGCATCATATGATAACTGCTGTGCTCCGCCAATTTCTGAGTGATGGGAACGTGGGGCTTCCCGACTGAAGGGGGAGGGGGGTTAGTCTACCACTGTTTCCGGGGGATTGGTTGCTCGGGTACTTGTACAGTAAGCTGATCATATACCCTTCCCGTTTTGGGTACGTAAAAAAAAAAAACGTCCTGGTATGATAGGGACATGTGCCCACCCGTATGATACCGGAATACTCGAGTACAGTAAACACTCTCATAATTCCGGGAGGCCGGTGAACGGCGGAACCTGGAACAAGTACGATACTGTACTGGTAGAGGGCTGGAAACACGGGAGGTGTCTTGGCAAGTTAAGTGATGGAATATGGTGTCCCCTATCCAACATCCCGCACCGCATATTCTTACTCAGCGGCCTGAAAATAGGACAAGATAGAGGTTTGAACTGTAGACTCATCCACAATTTTAGCCCTAATTTCAGGAACCATGATCAATTCTCTGGAAATAGGAATTATGGGAGGGTTTATTGAAGTACCGCTATCATCATGGTCCCGTACCGTTAACTAAGGCGGCCGGGGTAGATGGGTAGCTACCGGTAGGATAGGGGAGGATAGGAGTGTCTCTCGAGTGATGTCCTATGAGCACTAATATCGACTATGGTACTCGTACAAGTGTATGATAGGTTGTAGTGGGTTGAGTATCGGTAGTCGGGTTGTTTGCGGTTTGTATGATACCCCAATCCCAAATCTCAATAGACTACGGTACGCGTCTGCCGTTACTGCATGGTGAGTTCACTAGAGAACGGCCCTTTCAGGGTCTTGTTCTCAGAGGCACCGGCACTGCACCGGCATTGTGTTAACTGCCTGCATTGCTCCTACCGCATTCGGCGGTCAATCAATCCACCTTCTTCCACCCCACCATCCACCGCACGCTCCCCCCTCCCTTCCGCTCATAAACCACGCGTGTCTTGGCGCTGGCCTCCCTCTCAACCCTATTTGGGGGCATAGCCCTATCCACCTTCTCGTATTTAGCTTCTTATGATAGCGGTACCGCTATTTTGCACCCCCATATCCAATTGTTTCCATAGCAATGGGACAGTCTAGGCGAAAGCCAAGACTTTATGACTTCCTCCTCCTCCTTGTCCAGCTTTAAAGGAGTTTCTATAAAGCCAGGGGGGTCTGCACCTCCCTGCTCCAGAAGGATTTTATTTTTGGGTAAGCATTTCACTACTGTGCATATCTTACGCACTTTACTACGCTACGCTACTGTATGGCTGGGAATGGAAATGATGGTCGTGTTGGCCCTGAGCCGAGATTTTGGCAGCGGAAGAAGAAGGGGAGGAAGGAGGGTGATGGTGGGGTGAATATTGATGTTTCTCCTGCTCCTGCTGTCTCTGGTACCGCGAAGGGAAGCGAAGCGGAAGAGGAGGAGAAGGGGGGGGGAGATGGTGAGAAAAAGAAGGAAGAAGAGAAAGTTGATGTTGGGAATTACATCGTTTGTTTCACGTTCTTGCCAAAAGGAAAGGAAAAAGATATGACCCTAAACTGATCTTTACATCGCAGAGGGTTCTCAAGTTCGGAGACAAGCTTGATTTCGCACTAATGCTTGTCGGTGCGGTTACTTCCTTTGCCACGGGTGCCGCCTTGTATGTCGCTCACTCCCTATCCCTACCCTCTAACATCACCCATGGTGGCATCGGGGGGTGACAGGTCGACAGCGGGGACGTGACACTAACTTGAGCATAGTCCATTGATGACTATTATCTTTGGAGAACTGACTACCACTTTCACCGGGTATTTTGCACCTGAGTCTACTGTTACCAAGGCAGAGTTTACGGATTCTATCAATACTTGGTGGTTTGTTCACTTCTCTCCCCATCCTTTCGCCATCGGTTGGGATTGCAGCGAGCGCAGGTCGGGTTGACATGTGGGGTGTCATAGCTTGTACTTTGTATACCTGTTTATCGGAAAGTTTTTGACGGGATATATTTGTATTGTGAGTGACTTTATGCATAGTGCTCGCTGGGATGGAGAATGGTAGCTGATGAGGATGATACCAGGCATGTTTCCGCCTCTCGGGAACACGTATTTCTGCAGCTATACGATTGGCATACCTTACCTCTATATTCCGCCAGGACCTTACCTACTTCGATGCACTCGCGGCTAAAGTCCCCGAAATCGATGCCACGAGAAAAATGATGAGCGGGGCTAAAGCAGAACCCACCGCTGCAAAAGCCGGCACCGCGGGTGCAGTCGCAGTGTCCATCACAACCCACAGTAACACTGTACAGATGGGCATCTCCGAAAAAGCTTCCACGTTCATTCAGGGGGTTGCCATGGTTCTATCGGGCTTCGTCATTGCCTTTGTCAAGAATTGGAAGTTGACACTTGTGACTGCTACTATTCTGCCTACCAGTATCTTGATTTATGGTATCTCAATCCCGATCGATATCAAACTCGAGAAGGCTGTTATGGCAGCGCATGAGAAGGCTGCCGAACTCGCGGAGGAGGTGTTGACTAGTGTGCGTACGGCCAAGAGCTTCAATGCCGAGAAGAGGCTTGGGGCGAAGTATAAGGAACTTTTGGAACAGGGGAAGAGAGCTGGGCTCAGAAAGTCGCCTGTCTCCGGTGTCCAGTATTTTGGGCTTTTCTTCGTTATCTATGCCGGGTGAGTTGGACCTTGCCGAGTCGCGCTATAGGGAGAGGGGAGAGGGGAGAGGGTGACTAATGGGTTGTTGATCGATAGCTACGCAATCAGCTTCTGGTACGGTGTAAGATTATTCCAACAGGGCGAGATTGAGGACTCGGGAACCATTATTACGTGAGTGGACCATCCGCTGAGTATCACTCGAGAGCCGGTTTTAACTGGTCGGGATTAGTGTTTACTTCGCCGTTGTATTCGCGGTAATGGCATTCGGTGTTATTGCCCCACCGATTCAATTGATGAGCAAAGCCGCCTCGGCTTCAGCTAGTATGTTTGAAGTGATTGACCGCACACCCTCCATCGATTCCCTTTCTACGGAAGGACTGCAACCGGAAAAGTTCCCATCCGGAGACCTCGAGTTCAGGAACGTCAAGTTTGCCTATCCCGGCGGTGGAGAGCGAGAAAAGGTCATTGTTCTCGGTGGTGATCCGGACGACACGGAAAGTGGCGAGGGCATGTCACTGTCGTTCCCGGAAGGCAAGACCACAGCTCTTGTTGGCCGCTCTGGCTCCGGAAAGTCAACTATCGTCGGGCTTATCGAGCGGTGGTACGATCCTAATGTGGGCAGTGTAAATATCGCGGGTATCGACATCAAGGATCTGAATCTCCGCTGGTGGCGTGGCAAAATCGGTCTTGTGATGCAGGAGCCATTCCTATTCAACGAGTCTGTCTTCAAAAACGTAGCTTATGGTCTCACAGGTACAGAGTGGGAGCACATTAGCGATGAGGAAAAGCTGGTCATGGTCAAAGAGGCCTGTGTCGAAGCGAATGCCGCGTCCTTCATCGAGGAATTGCCAGATGCGTATGAGACTAGAGTTGGTGAGCAAGGTATTAAGCTGTCCGGTGGCCAGAAGCAACGTGTAGCGATTGCCCGGAGCATCATTTCGAAGCCACAGATCTTGATCCTTGATGAGGCAACCAGCGCGATTGATCCTAGGAATGAGAAAATCGTGCAGGAGGCACTTGATAGGATATCGAGGGGGCGTACAACTATTACTATCGCACATCGATTGAGTACTGTTAGGAAGGCGGATACGATCGTGGTTATTGGTGCTGGGAATGTTCTCGAAGTGGGCACTCATGAAGAGTTGATGGCTGATCCTGATGGTGCGTATACACAGTTGGTACATGGGCAAACGTTACTTATGCAGGAAGCCGGAGAGGGAGGTGGAGAGGAAGGGGAGGAGGAGGGGGTTCCCGAGGCTGAAGCAATTGAGAGGGTCGAGACCGCGCAGGGTACTACTTCTCTTGAGAAGACTACTACTTGGAGGTCCAGACTGGGTGTTGCACGTGGAAAAGCTCCGGTTGTGGATGAGGAAGCGGCGCCGGTGGCTGAGAAGGAAAAAGTCAAGGCGATGGGAATATTACGCAGCGTGGGGTTGATTAGTTGGGAGCAGCGACATTTATGGCCGATTTATCTCGTTGGCTTTGTTGGGTGTCTTGGTGGTGGTGAGCAATGATTTCTTCGGGTTTTGTCAAATTAGAGCTAACGCTATCCAGGTGCTGCGATTCCAATACAAGCGATCCTCTTTGGGAAATTCATGGAAGGTTTCGAAAAACCCCTGAGTGTGGATGAATTCGTTCGACGCCAGAACCACTGGGCATTGATGTTCTTCATCCTTGCAATCGGCGCGGGTATCACATATGCGCTTATGGGCTCAATGTTCACTTCGATAACTCATCACATAAACGCCTACTACCGCTTCGAGTACTTTGAAAACGTCCTTCGCCTGGGAATCCCGTTCTTCGATGGGGAAGGGAACTCAGCGGGGACCTTAACGGCACAGCTAAATACACATCCAGCAGCGCTCCAAGAACTCTTAGGACCAAGTACGGGATTAATGATCATCTCAACAGTAAGCATCATCGGCTGTTGCATTCTCTCTCTCTGCATCGGTTGGAAGTTGGCATTAGTATGTATCTGCGCTGCTCTTCCGTTCCTCTTTTTCGCGGGAGTCATTCGTATCCGGATCGAGATTGGCTTCGCCAAGGATACAGCCGAGGTCTTTGAAGAAAGCGCGCAATTCGCCAGTGAAGCCGTAGGCGCATTCCGCACGGTCTCGTCACTGATCATGGAACAGAGCATACGGGACCGCTACGACGTCCTCCTCAAGGGCCACGTGAAGAAGGCGTTTCGAAGATCCGTCCTAGCGGCAGTAATCTTTTCCGCGAGCGAGAGCATGAACCTCCTTGCTACAGCCCTCTGCTTCTGGTACGGCGGCCAGCTACTGGCGGATAGGGAACTAACGACGTACGAGTTCTTCATAATCTACATCGCCATCATCCAAGGAGGGGAATCCGCTGGACAGTTCTTTGGGTTTACGGAGAACATTGCACAAGCCGCCGAGGCGGCGAACCAGATTCTCGGCAAGCGCCAGAAGAACCCGCCGCCGCCGGGCGGCCCCATGTCCGGGGGGGACGGTGGCTGCGGGGTGGTGTTCAAAGACGTGAATTTCAAGTATCCGACCCGCGACACTCCCATTTTCCAGAACCTCAGCTTGGAGATCCCGGCAGGCTCTTTTGCCGCGTTTGTGGGTGCTTCGGGGTGCGGGAAGACTACCACTATCTCTTTACTGGAACGCTTTTATGATCCCACTTCCGGCAGGATCGAGGTTGACGGGGAGGACATCACCAGCTTAGACGTGACATCCTACCGCAACTCCGTGTCTCTGGTAGCGCAGGAACCAACCCTCTACGCCGGCACAATCGCGGAAAACGTGCGCCTTGGCGCAACAACCACCTCTCCTCCGCCCACCGACGAAGAGATAATACAAGCCTGCAAAGACGCATACATCCATGAGTTTATAACCTCCCTGCCAGACGGGTACCAGACCATTGTGGGCGCCAAGGGCATGGGACTCTCGGGCGGTCAGAAGCAGCGTGTGGCCATCGCCCGCGCGCTCGTGCGCAAGCCCAGGATGTTGCTGCTCGACGAGGCGACGGCTAGTCTGGACAGCGAGAGCGAGCGCTTCGTACAAAAGGCATTTGACCGTGCGAGGGTTGGAAGGACGGTCGTTGCTGTTGCGCATAGATTGAGTACTGTGCAGGCCGCCGACGTGATTTTTGTGTTTGACGAGGGGAGGGTAGTGGAGTCGGGTAGACATGGGGAGTTGGTTAAGTCCCGGGGGGTATACTATCAGATGGTATGTTCTTTTTCTCGCTGGATTGAGTATGGAGGTGCTAACAGTGGTGGGTGTAGTGCCAAGCTCAAGCTTTGGATAACTAATGTTTTCCGTCATCCTATATTGTTGTATCATACGGTTCAACTTGGTCGGCATCTCTTTGCTTTTTAACCTGCACCTCCGCATATTCTCTGTCGGGAGTTTTTTTTGTTTTGTTTTTAATTTTATACCTACTCCTCCACGGATTATCCCACATATCTCCCCTCTTCCCCGCGGCGCTTTAAATTTGCGCCTTTCGTGTTTTTTTCCCTCCTCACTCCCTTCACTTCCCTGTACGTTTCCTACCTACCCTACTCACAACACCTCTCCACTATAGTTTATATTTGGCGCGACGGTAGTGGGTCATTCTTGCATCTCCCATTTCATTACATTTGTACTAGTAGAAGTAGTTACTCCATTCAGCACTCCATTCAGCGTATTGAATCCTATTCTTATATCCTTCTCTTTGCCCTCTATAGTTCACGCACGCAACGTGCTCCGCTATGCTAACACGTGCGTCACAGTATCTCACTCTGACCGAATCACTTCTCCCTGGTAAGCTTACCGGGCGTGTGGAGCTGGGGGAGAAGATTGGAAAATATCCCCAATGGGGGTAGTAAATATCTACTGTATCGCGGTTCTTGTAATTAATATTCTTTTGTGACGCGGCAGTCGTGCATTGGTATGGGTGCGGATGTGATTGTCTGCCCGATACATGACGCCTGCAAACTCTCCTTCAACCATAGCTCGTTGAAATCGATCCTTGGTAACACGGTTGTCGGGCGTTGGCAATACCGGTGTCTTTGACTCCCCTTCTTGGTGTGGCCGCATACTTGCTGGGGGACTGACGGGGGTTGGAGCGAGCTATCGTGGCTGACACATTGTGTGGTATCATGGGCAACGGCTAGCAAGGCGGAGGCCATTCTTGTTGGAGAGGGTATTCCCAGGTGGGGGGGTTCCATGATATGTTTGCCCAAAAGTGCCACTGGGAGGACTCGAATGGGCGATAGCAGTAAGTATTCATTTCCAGTTATTGGAGAACGGAGTGGTAGGGAGATAGCGGAGCGAAAGAAATATGGCGAGAGCTTCGCCGCAGCGGAAATCATAAGCCAGTCGGGTGCAGAACGAGGGGCTAACGGAAGAAGTGGTGGGTAGCGAGTGGGATCACGGTGGCTGAAGAACCGCTAACAATGTGAGGAGTGCTGAATTAAACTATCGGCGGTGATACAAGCTGGGGACGGACTGGCGGATGGGCTTGTACTCGTCTCCCTGGGCTGTCGACAACTAACTTAGTAGAAGAGCAGCTATTGAGCGTGGATGCATAGAGAGGTGTGTGCGGTAGGTGTGCTTATGGTGGGGGTTTGGCGGATATCAATCAATGGCTTCCTAGAGAAGTATTTTCACCGGTTTTAGAGGTGTTGTTTTCCATGTTGGAATATGGGGGGAAGGTTTCCAATTTAACCCTAACCCTATGATTTAAACTCTCGTTGTGTCCAGTATGATATAATGCTGTGCCATTATATAGCAAGGCTCGCTGTAGAGTATTGCTCATTGCCATGTGTCTGTTGATCCAAGAGTTTTACATGTAAACTTTTCGTTCTTCGGTTCTGCTCGCCGTTTCAAGGTTGTAAGAAACAGAGCGTGCTGTTGGGTTGTGGGCATAGGGCAGCGACCTTACCAGATGATCCAGACGGTATCGTATCATACGCCATTTTTTCGGTGGGGACAGCATCGTACAATATAGTATATGTATAGATGGATGGGTACAAAACCCCCGCCCGAGAACTCGAGCACCAGCGCTTGCTCCAGCATGCCTTGGCCCACAGTGGAATTTTGCTCAGTGTAGTGCTTTTCACATTCGGGTATTTTGCACACAAATATTCCTTCGCCATCTTTTCCAGGGTTACTAAGTTTTTTTGCGTGTGGGTAGTGGGGATCTGCTCTAAGTGAGCAAGGAAACGTAATGGTGTCTATCTTGGATGCGTAGGGTGTCATGAATCCTTTCGTGGTGTTTCCTCCATTCCCTTCTTTCCCTCCCGGTTTGGGTATGAGTGAGGACCTCGCTGTCAGATCATTAGATCGAACATCTTACATCTTATACGGCGCAAAATGGACCAGCTGGAGGTGCCTAATTGGAAGTTCCCGGGTGTGCTGAGGGGGTGGCTGTAGTATCTTGTGAAAAACGGTAATTACGGTTGACGACGATAAGCTGGCATTGCCATCAAGTGAAAAGCAGCTCTAATCTGGCTATCATACTTGAGCGCAGTATAGTACCGCACAAAGCTTAGAATACAATTCGGAGTGCACCGAAATGCTGGAGTGTTACATTTCCTTGAAAAACTCAGGGTCGACAGCATTTTCAATCCTAATGATCTGGTACAAGTGGAGGATATGATTCCATCGACCGGTTCCTCCTGTGCCCTCGGGATACAGTTTCAATCCTGGGTATCTGTACGGGACGCGCGTCCGTGTCCCTTAGTGAATGAACCCCTTATCTTCCCCCTCGTTCTGTTGAAATCTTTCCTCTCCCCTCTTCACCCGCTCAAACCACAGACCAGAGAGAATATCCCCTCTTTCTCCTTGCTCAGCCTCTTGAAATTTTCACAACTGTTAGGTGAAAGCAGGATCATGTCGGCCCCTGAAGCGTCGGAGAATACTAGATTGCTCGGAGGTATGTGGTTTTACACTTAAATCCATCATAGGCACCTTTTCATTGTTATTCTGTTCCATCAACTAACATCAGCCTTGCTAGGCTGATGACAACAAAAAAAATGCGGT